TGTAAACAAGAACTTTATCTATTCTGTTGAATTTCAGACAGCCACGTTGTCCTAGTGACAAGGGCGTTTACTAGGCTTTATTAATATCAGAAATAATCAGAATTGGAAAATTATTTCATCATGAATACTTAAATTCAGGATTGAATTATAAAATCCTTATCCAGAGGCAATGAGGTTGATTATTGAATGGGACTATATGAATGACCCATTTGGTGGTAATTGGCGAGCCTTTTGTCCATATAACCAGCAAAAATAGACATAGTCATCAAGTCATTAAAGTTTGAATTCCCTTTAGATAGAAGTACATTCCTATTTGGAATGCAAAGAAGCTATCAAGCAAGCGCGGTGTTCCATCCTGTTCATGTTTCCTGTCCTGAAAATGTCAAACATTGTGCTATGTTTGAAAACAGCAACATTTTTGATAGGTGTGTATTTGCATTCTCGTCTTGTACAACACGTGAAGGCACGGTGGATGTTATTGATGATGACTAATCGAGTGACTGAAGCAGGGAAGAGTAAAGGAATATGGGCATTCCTAATCGTCTTGAAGCTAATAAATAAATTTACTTAACTCCCAACAAAGAAGGAATAAAGAAAATATCCATTTTCAGAAAAAGAGAGACGTATCTCTGCAGTTCTTCTTTTTATAACCACTTTTAGAAAGGTGAAGTTATGATCAAGGGCTAGCAAACCATTATCAAGGACAATATAGAGACAAATATAAACAATTGCAATACTGCAAATTGAAGACGGAGTGCAACAACTAGATTTTACCAAATGTGCATTTTTATGTAGGTTGTTAATAGATTGTTAATAGAAGTTCGTAATGCAAATTGACAAAAACGGAGATGATGTGTTAGCACTCGGTACTCATATTTCAATGTCAAATATTACCTAACATTTCACAAGTAATAGATTGGCTTACAACAACCTTCACGGTTGGCCGAGGTATCACGTGTAAGATATTTTATTTCACCAATAACCATTATGGGATTTATGGCGATGCAACCGTAATCGATAACTGCCGCACTACACTGAAACACAAACAATGAGCCCAATGTACTGGAGATTACAATCTGTTTTTGAATGGACAGCAAATCAAGAAACCTTATTCTGTCCAAATTATTTTTAAACCCTATAATTTTTTGATAGAGTTGAAAGTTTATTAAAGAATTTTGATAGTAAAGGGCAGTTTGATATGCGTGTCTGTTTTAAGGTACCTATTCGATCTACACTAGATTTGGTATTAATATATGGAAATCCTGGACAAATGAACTGATTCATCATTAGTGGCACCCATATTTCATTAAAATGTTTGGTCTAAAGACTTGGAGTTAAAGAAATAATTTGAAAGCCAAAGCCTCATAAACCATGCCTGATATGAGAACACTGTTTTAAGAGAAATGCCTTAAACACCATTATGAAAACCTTCAAGTCATGTCGTGCGTAAGATCAGAATACATTGTACATAATTTACAACTAGTTAATACAAAGATGTACTCAAGAGATGACTGTACCCACCTATATTCTCGCGAACTATATAACTGTATTGTATCAAAGTATTAAAATTTAAACAATCATGGGAATGTTATGGATTATAATTTAATTCATATAAATTGTTTGAGAGATAAAGAAATTAATTTATGATCAACTACATGATGAGGATCTAACGATGCCCAATATTGGATTACTTATAAAGATTTGAAGATCTGAGGGCTCAGTACGTTACGTAGTTTGTTTACGAGACATCAATTACTACTTATTTGGAATAATAAAACAATAATCCCCAGCTAGATTTACAGAAATCAGATAGGACGTCCACAAAATGGATGGAAACGAAGAGTTGAAGATCGAGTTCAGTGGCGTGCTATTACCAAGGGCTGAAAAAGGGTAAAAAGGCTGACGAAGATGATGATGAACTGCCTAAAAAATGGATATAGGTAGTACAAGATTAAAATTAGGTAATTTATAATAGGAACCTATTTATAAAAAGGGCTTCTTAGAACAAAACTATGACGTCAAATGAATACTGGTAAGTTTTCAAAAGAGCGTCACGACTCTTTTAAATAAAAAAATTCAATGAAAAATCTTGGTCAATGAATAATCTAATCTAGAATCACTTTAGTTTTCCCCATTTTCATTTTATTTTCGTAAGCCAATTCTTCGAAATCTTTACACAACAAACTGTTAACAAGAATGCCTTGTATCTACTTATTAATTAAACCACTTTTATCACTTTATCAGGTATCCGGAATTAAGCTTTAAATATTTTTGAAATAAAGTCATAATCGAAATTGTATTGATTTAAAGTTATTCAGAAAATTGTGAGTTATATTCTATCTAATGGTAGGTCCACATCTAGCGAATGCGCCAACGGAGCAAGCAAGCATACTTACCTATTCGCAAGATGTGGTACACCATAGGAGCACAAATTGATGATGGTTGTTACGAAAAGGTAGAATGACAATAATATCTAGCAACACCACAATAAATTTGCCTGATGACTAGATTTTTTTTTGTTGACTTCATCCCTTACAACTTTTTGGTGGAAATTACAGAGCGACACGTGTTCTACGAACCGATCTTTTGTTGTTTTGCTTGCTTCCTTTTATCCCACTGCTTCAGGATTGTATGCCCTTATTTTTTCTTCTCTCGTCTTCTTACCAATCTTACGTGGTTCATCATTGGAGGATGTATTGCAATCGTATCTACGACTTTATGTGTTATCCCATCAAGTTCAGAGGACCATTGCAATCAAAGGCTGTTCGTTTCCACTTAGGTATCTGCTTTTCTAGACACCATTTAAGTAGTAGATTTTATTACATGTTGTAGGTGGTATGGAACATTTCCTTTGATCTGTACATTCTGTGTGTAGTTGCATATCACGTTGGATCGTAAAATATGAAGAGCTGTTACATACCCTGTCTGAAGATGTATGAATGTGTTGTATTTGTATGTGGTAGATACTACATTTTGTATGTTGTGCAAAGTTCTGTTCACTTTGTTAACATTACTTCAAGCAATTAAATAGATTTGACTCATTAATCTTTGTGTGTTTTCATAAATCAACGGATGATGGATACTTCTGTTTTAACGTGAATTTTGTTCGTAGTGTAGGTACTTGCAGTTTGACAGCGATGTCTAATCAGTTATCTAGATTCCTCATAATGCGTGTGAGTGAGCCACACATCGTGAAATTCATTTTTAGAGTGACGTCATTGTTTCTTGCAATAGCTGGCCGTTAGATTAGGTTTGTTTTATTATACTTGCGTAGGTATAACATTCATAATGAAATTATTGAAGCAACGTCTCACTGCCCCGCTGCCGGCTAGGTAAACATGATCGTAAACTTTATGATTTATTGTTCTTTATCTTTTCGTCACCTTGCCACTGATAACGATTAATGATCAATATTAATTACGAAATTAAATGAAACATGAAGTTCGTGTGGGTTCGTCGAGAATTCCTAAACAGTTGTCTATAAATAGTGTGGATATCGGAGCGACTGCAGACAAAAAGCGATCTGAGAGAATCGCAAGTTGCACGAAGGTGTGGTCTGTGGTATCTGTCGATATGGTGTGCCAGCCATTAGCGGGATCGACTTGCGGCGAGACGAGTCCACTCGACTCGATACTCAGGTAGCGCCGGGATAAAAACGCCACTTGAAATGGAGCGGACGCGGCCCGGTCTCACCTAGATAGCGCTCGCGATCCGACAAAAAGAACAGTCGTGCCATAGCCGGCGATACTCGGTAATACTTAGAAATTCTCAAAAAGACCTCATTGCGATGCCCGCAGAGTAAGCGCCGTCGTATCGCCGTGAATCAGTCATCAGCTCGGATCTCCGTCTCGTCACAATGAGCCGCCCTAATCACCCATTCATACGGCACGCACGGTGATAATAATATAAATAGGCCCAAACGTCCAATGAATGAACTTATAACATGTAAATTCGTCGCTCACAAATCGCGACACAGCTCGGAGCGTAGGCGTCGGGGCTTGAATGAAAATAAACATATTCGTTAGAGTGCTTACCTCTCGATTTTAATGATTTTATCCAGATTAGCGATATCGTCACAGCACTTGGTAAAATCGTTATCAATGTATTGTTACACTGAACTTGTGGGCATATCACTGTTATGAGCGAGGGAAGGTCGCGAGGCGGCGAGGACAGTACAGCGCGGCCGGCCGTCAGATCGACACTGCGGAGGTGCGCCCGCGTCGCCACGCACACACGCGCCTTCATTCACACAGCGGCGCGGCGGGGGGGGGGACTTATGAATGGACGTAGTGAAGCCATGTCGTATAGATACCGCTGATAAGGCGCTATGCAAGCGTTATACAACATGATACGAGCGCTGATCGCCCGCCGCATCACTCTTACTGCTACATAATCTACTAATCATTGTACATCCTACTAGTCGGCGCACAAACTACGTGGCGAAATTAAGTAATCTTATTCAATGTAATAATATTAGCAAAATAATAGTTATCTCGACAATCAAACAATGATAAATGTGGATATAAATAAGATAAAGAGATAACGCAGTTACAATTTAAATATTTTAATACTTTTATAAACTTATGTTTTTCTGACTATACAAAGCAACAATATATCACTTAGATATGTAATACAGTATAAATACTTAAGTAAGCGATTGTCTTTGACTTGTTCGTTATGACCTTTTTATTCAGTCAATTACTATGAATTCTACAAAGCTTTAAGCCATACGAAGAAGGGAAGCGACACCGTAACTTAAACCTTACATATAAACAATAAATACTTGAATTCTATTCTAGTATAACAAGTATAAGTTCACGTTAAAATAAAATTATTATTAAACTAAAGCGACGTCTACCTCCTTACTATGATAGAATATCTCACCATTTACATTATATTTAACAAAAATAATAAATAAAGATTTTTTCACAAAACGGTTCAAAATCCTTTGTGTACTAGTCAATAAGTTACGGCGTCTCTTCCTATACAATAGTTATTGTTTACGAAAGTCCTTTGAGGAAGCTGGACAGCTTGTGGCTCTTGTAGTCCGCACGAAGCTGAATGAAGCTGTTTAGTATCGAGTGGTCCAATTCCGCCTGTTAAGCAAGCAAAAATATTTGTGTTACATCTTATAACTACATATTAATTAAGTTCAACGGTCGAGGTAACTCGACTAGTTTCGAACCAAGATAAGAAGTGCCAAGCACGAATAACTATCGCATTCGTAACGTAATAGTATCGAGCGCGTTCGGCGCTCTGATTGGCCGGCTCAAGTGAACCAACCAATCAGAACGCTTAACTCGCTCGATACTGTTACGATACGAATGCGATAGTTATTCGTGCTTGGCACTAAGGACTCATGTAATTTAAAACTATTCGATTTTCATCGCCTAACAGTTACGTGAGTAAGCTGAAAAGGAAATGTTCGGTTCTGTCTGTATCAGTTTTTATGCTGTATTCAAGTAATAGCTTATAAGTGCTGGGGAAAAACCTTTTTGAGTGGGGCAAATTATCCCATGACTGCAAAACTATCCCCTGTTCTTAATCCTGCTTCGAAACAGAGCCCAGACCATGACCAGATATTTGGTGATGGAGATAAATTCACGAATAGGGTAGTTTCCTAAATTTTATTTTAATGTCCGTCTGGTACATTAATTTAAAACTTTTAACACGTATTTTTTCTTTTCTCACAAAATTAAAGACTTCTGACGATATATTAATTTGAAATATCGTGTGACGTCACAGCGTGTTACATTATGTAGCACGTTATGACGTAACTACCTTCCACTCCTAAACTTAGCACCATTTTATCGATTGCAACTTAATACGATAAATTAAAAAAATATGTGTTTAATATTTTTTCATTATCTAACTGACGGATTAATTAGATTTTTAATTTTGATACCCTGGAAACTATCCAATTATTATTATTTGTTATTACACAATAATTAAGCCGCGGGCGGAAAGCTAGCAAGGAATAAAACTTTATTCAGAGACCGAGCTGTTTTTACAATCGGAAGTTATGCAATAAGAATATTTTTATTCAGTAACGACTACGTAATACATTACATATTTTATTTGATGCACAGGAAATTGTATGTTGAATGCCAATTTTTATGTAGTTTTATTAGTTTTTGCAACGAAAAGAGTAGAATAAGATGAAAAAGAAATATATATGTTTTTGCCAAGATTATACAGCGTTAAGTACGTTGGTCGAGGTGACTCAAGTGCTACTGCTAACCAAAGGGTTTTTGATTCAATTTTGATTTTGACTGTGTATTTCTCAGTCGAAAAAGAGTCTATAATAGTGGCTGGTGTATTGCAAATGGCTATATGTTTGCCAGAGGATCTAATTATAAAAATGGTGAAGGGTAGTAGGATAGAAACATTTCTGCCTACTTCATCGAATATTGATGTTTCTTTAATATTCGTTCGTTAATATTGGAATACTGGCTTCTGTCCGCGGCTTTGTACGCGCAATTCCGTTTTCTCCCGTTCCCGTAGGATTTTCAAGAGTTTTTCTGTCCTAATAATAACATATACAACAAAAAAGGAATTAGTGAAATCGGTCCAGTCATTCACGCGTGATGCCGTGACCAAGGGAAAAAGGATTCATTAATTAAGTAAATAGATGACTTACAAGAGTTTCACCCTCGCAGACTTGGTGAAGGTTTTCAGGTTTGACGAGCAGTAGGTTGCAGAGTGCGTGCAGTGCGTCGAACAGAGAGTGCGCGGGCGCCGGGGCTGCGCGCGCGCCGCGACCGCATACTGCGCTGCGGTACTCCTTCACGTCGCAGATAGCTATCATTGCACCTAGATATACAACGTTTGGGTTCAGTAATTATGTTTTATGTTTTTTTTAAGGGGGATAATCATTGAATGACTGCTCCCGCCTGGGTGAGGCGGGAGGGAGTGTCAGACTCTTACTGACTAAAAACCACCCCGTTCCTTCTCCTGCACGTCGAGCCGGAGCCCCGGTTACCTGTTAGGTTCTCCGCGACTCCGAATCGGCATCGGTCCTATTGGGCCCCATCTGTGGTGGTCTGATGGCTCTTTTAGGCGCGCGCGGAACGCGACGCGCCGTACGCTCGGGTATGTTTTATGTTTAAAGGCTTAATCACGTAACTGTTGAACACCACGTGTTGGCTGCGCCGCGTCGTGTGTCGCGTAATGCTACTTAGGCATATGAGCCCCTAGCGTAGCTTGAAACCAGTCCAGGTATTTCACCAAACAGTTACGTGATGAGTGAGTAAGCCGTTAATAATATAGGCACAATTAATTAATTTAACTCGTCGAGTACCGTATTTATAGACACAATTAAAGAACAATAGGTTGCGGTCACCGGTGACCGCTTGGTGTTTGACAGTTTAATATGTTTCACGAAGCTTATAAGATAAAAATATGGGTTAATTTTTGACTTGTAAATTTCGTTAATTTTTTAATGGTACACGCCCGTCACAACCTCCTCAATACAATTGCATCTCCTAAGTTAGGATCTACAAAATTCGGGCAGATATAACAATGAAAGCATTGAAGCACTGAAGATGGCGCGTCACAGGGACATGAATAACTGTCGTGGATCCCGAAACGTAATAGATCAGAAACTGAGATTAGAATTTGTACAATTATAATAACAATAGTAGTGACAGTACTCCCAACATTTATTCAACATTTTCCGTATTCAGATACATAGTTCGAAATTATCACTATCGATAAGATAGATCGGTTATTCAACTCGTTTATCAAATCCATGAACTTGAAAGATTTCAAATAAATCAGGTAATACAAGTATTAAATAAGATTTCACCGTTTCTTTCAAAGATACTAAATAGTACCCTAATCTTTTAGCTATAAGTTAGATTTTCAACTAACTCATTGATTGTATTATACTGACAGTCTTGCAGAGTGCGAGATGCTAACTAGAACTTTAACGTCTTTGCCAGAAGCACCGTTTTCATATACCTCACTGACTAACAAAGAACACTACCATAACATAACATCACGCCTTTTTATCCCCGAAGGGGTAGGCAGAGGTGCACACAGAAGTAACACCCACTTTTCACTATTTATGTTATGAGTCCCATGTAATAGGGGGTGTGTATGCAATTCAAAATAGTACCTTATCAATATAACAATAAAGTTCAAAATAACTTACCAGCAGAATTGAACTGGTAGTTCTGTAGATGCTCGTATATGATCCTGTGTAGTCGGACGGCTAAGTCTAAGGTGACTGCGTGAAGGTTGTCTCCTTCCAGACCTCCATGGATCTTATCCATTATGTTGTTCAGGTAATTCACGACTGCCAGACACGCCTGGTGACGTCACAATTCATTAGAGGTTAAAAAAAACTCTACAGATTTCTTATGAGTTTTGGTTAAAATGGAGACCCGAGTACTCAAACAAAAAGTTAACAATATTAATCCCCCATCGCCAATGCCCTACAATGCCGACAAAGCTACGGTATTGCGAGTAGTCGTATCAGCTGATGGTAAGCAATCGGCACCGTCAGACATTTTACAAGCCCGTTGACAGTCTTTTGGACATTCGGGGATTTGAGAATAGGGGGAATTGAACATCCATAGTAGTAAAATGAAAGAGAACATAAACAATATTTCACTACGATTTTCTGTTATAAGGCAGGTGTAGAACTCCGAGCCAGCCCATTCCTTTACAATTAAATAATAAAGAAATATAGCTAAACTAGCGACCCGCCCCGGCTTCGCACTGGTGCAATATGCATATATTATACATATAATCCTAACTTAAGAACCACTCTATCTATTTACAAAACCGCATCAAAATCTGTTGTGTAGTTTTAAAGATCTAAGCATACATAGGGACACACAGACGGCGGATAACGACTTTGTTTTATATGATGAAATAAGTACTTTAACTTCACACACTGAGACGAACCAATAGCCTTCTACAGTAATCTTTTTTTATGGAATCGGAGGTAAACGAGCAGACGGATCACCTGAAATTAAGCGATCAGCTCCGCCCATGGACACCTGCAACACCAGAGGAGTCACAGGTGCGTTGCCGGCCTTTTAAAAAGGAATACGCTCTTTTCTTGAAGGTTTCTTGTAACTTACCGCTGATGCAAGCGTATCAATATCTCCTTCTGGTTTGAAGTCAGTTTTCTTCTGTTCATTCTGAAGGTGCATCCTGACCCAGCTTACAATAGCCGAAATGGCCCGATCCAAGCCCACATCCAGCTTGTTCTCAAGCTGCTCCATTATAGCAGTCTTCTTTTGCATGCAATCATTCTGTTTTGTTGCTGAACTGTAAAATAACAACAATTAAACATAATTCCGAGTACGCAGCAATATTATTATTATTTTATTAATAGGAATAGGCCGGCAAACGAGCAGACGGATCACTTGATGGTGAGGAATCGGTACCGCCCATGGACACCCATAACACAAGAGTGCTGCGAGTATTTTGGGGATTAGGGGATTGGAGATGAGGGGGAGAGGGGGTGGGGGGTGGAGCCACTAGAATGTAAGCTTTGTAACTTTTCCACATTACTTTCTAGTCAATTGTTGAACAGATACGCTTGCAACATGCAACCTTGCAACAATTTCTGTAACGTGTTGCTGTACCTTAATTTCTACTGTGTGTAAATAAATATTTTTACAGTGTATAAAGAGTTGTACAAGTTTAAATTATCTAAAATAAATGCAGTATGTAATAGGCTCTATTTAGTCGTTTTTATATGGACCCATATGCAGGTAGTCTAGCATAATATGGATAATCTAAACTACAATTTAATGGAAGGGCTTCTACATCTACCTCTAAGAATCAACTTTAATATTACAGAATATAATGTGAATAATCGATCATAAAATTACTACGATAAGGTTAAATATTGTTTGAATATCATAAATGACAAAGGTCATTAAAGTTTGTTTCAAGACCTCTATTGGTTTCTACACGTTACCTTCTCCGTTGCCTGGCAGAATTTATCCCATCTGTTGCCAGGGGCCGGCTTTATTAAAAGTAAGCAAAATTATAATATCAATCTTATGTGTATTGTGATAAGGTTTCATTTTGTGACCTAATGATCTTCCGACAGCGTGACATCAACGTAACCAAATGCAACCTTGCAATCATTAGCCGAAGTTTTATTTCGTCTTTATTTCGTTGACAAACAGTCTATTTTGGCATGTTTGCAACCGAATACTTACGTGATACATGTTAAAACAGATTCTTGATAATGTTCTTCAAACATTCTGACAATTTTGTTCGCTTGCTTCACGATGTCGAAGAAATAAATCTGAAATATCAAAATAATATTACTATGTTACGTAAGAGTTTATCGCACCTTTATTTTATGACTATATTATAGTATTTTATAACTTTGTTCTACATATTATGTAATATCTTTTATATTCTTTATAACTTTATACTATTTTAGGTAACGCAAATAATGGTTAGTGCACGTGAACAATCTGACGAATAGAAATTGGTCTGGCAAGCGCCTGTATGGCATAATATTGAATGAGAAAAAGGAAACCAATACCGTCTTTGATATTACACGAATTTTATATCACAATAATATAAATAAAGAACTTGCGCAACTGTTGCGCAGTCTGTGTGTTGCGCAAATATTAATAAGGCAAAAATGCTTGTTAACGATTTATTCTACAGTCAAGTTCTTTTCGGAGCAAATCTAAAGCGAAAGAATATCAGGATCGATCGTTTAGGGAAAATTTCATTATTAAAGTAATACTTTTAAAGTATTATGTACTTTATGATCAATAGCACAGATCTAGAACTTATCACGATGTATGGTAATAGGCGCATAATATGACTTGAAAAATTTAAGTGAGTAAGTTTAACCTTTTGTGACAGTGCCATTATCTTATAATATGTTATGAAATGTGTTTGGGTTACCTGTGGTGGTGGCGACTTGCTATCGGCTATTGGAATGGACTGCAAGCCCAAATCCAGTGCGTAATCCACGTGTTCAATAAGTAGGTGTTGTATTACCACTTCTAGTAATGCTACAGTGGTGCCTGACAGCTCGTTTGAAGTGCACAGCTGAAAATGTAAGGAGTTATTATAATGATACACTGCACGATTGCTACGTGGTGCGGTTTCCCTCTCACGGATCAACTCTTTGTCTAATCCACAAGATGTTGTTCTGGGTCTAGGTTTGATGGTTATATAAATATGTATTTATTAATTTTTACCGACTTTTGAAAAGGAGGTTATCAATTCATCTGTATGTTTTTTTTCAATCACAAAACATAAATGACATCATAAGACGAATCATATTAAAGTGGGGGAGAGCTTCGATACGAATGGGCCGGCTCGACCGGTGTAATACCACAACCACACAGTAAGCCGACCAAGTAATCCTCCTCCCCAGTCTCCCCAATACCCGAATCCCCACAATCCTCAAATTCCGAAATCCCAAAGGGCCGTTAACGCACTTGTAACGCCTATGGTGTTTCAGATATCCATGGGCGACGCCGTTTGCCTCCCACCAGGTGATCCGTCCATAAAAAAGGTCTATGAAAGAAATTTCTTATTTAAAGATACTCACAGTTTTGCACCTCGTAAAAGAAGTCTTAGCATCGCTGATCATCTTTTGAACAAGTTGTTCGCTTAGGAAGGTCTCTCCTCCGTAGTTTTCTATCTGCGCTATATTGATATTCGTCCGTGCTTGAAGCTCACGCCTTAATTCTTGGAACCTGGGTGAAAATATTGAAATAAAACAATTAGATTTTTGGCCAAGGTTATCATGTATTGGTCTTGGACTTGGTAGGTGACAGTACAGTAGAAAACATTTGTCATCGCCTCTATTTTCTTGGGTATCGTAACAATCTACTAAAGGACTACATATTTAACAGAAAACGGTCTTCGATATATCTCTTTCTCTTTTTTACAAAGTTGCCCCACACTAGGACTTTCTCCTCCGTTGTGGGTGCTGTTATAACATATAAGTTCACAAACACGTGACAACCAGACCCGAAACAACAATTTGTGGATCACACAAAACACGTTAAACACGTTAAGCCAGTCAGTTACCCAGCCACCACGCCAATCGTGCAATCAATTTCTGTACTTTCAAACAGCGATCCACCCAACCAACCCACCAAGCTTAGAAGATATGGTAAACCCGTTTTGTAGAGGAGGCTCATTGTCCACCATTGGAGCCTCACTGACTGTTGAACCACGGAACATAGTCCAGTGATTAAGATTAAAAAGTAGTAATAATAATGTGGCACGGAAGTTAAGACACCCACTTCTCAATCATAAGGGTGCAGGTTCGTAACCTACCAACGGCAAGTACTAATGTGACTTTTTCCAACTTATGTATACTTTCAAGATTTAGACACCATTAATAAACGCTAAAGGACAAAATGGTGAGGAAACCTGGACTTATAATTTCTAATTATAAGTTTGAATTCGCCAACTCACAGTGAGCAATGAGCTTCTCCGTGTGGGAAGAAGCTTTGCTCAGCAGTGGGCTTATAGGCTGTTGATGTAAATGGTATAACTACCTTTTTCAGTTCACTCAATAACATAAAAAAAAATCCAACTTACCCACCACCCTGTATAGGCTTTTTAACATGTTGCTTCTCTGTATAGTATGTGTTCAAAGCGTTGGACATCGAAGCTTTAAGTCTTCGTATTTCTAAAGACGCGTATCCATCGTTAGCGCCGGCCATGGCACCATTGACAAGCGCGTCTCTACGGAGGTCGCCTGTGGTTGTATTACCTTCTGCGGACACTAGACCAGCTTGTACTAACTCGTCGCATACTCGCTGCGTACTGGAAGTAATAATAATAAGTTTATTTTTGGTATTTTAATTAATTATTATTGTATCTTTGTTTGTAAATAGTGTTGAAAGTTCATGACCATATTTATTAACAGATAGGCTTTTAGTCAATATATTACCCTAATTTGGTAATGATAAAGCTTTTATTTAACCTGTTTAGATAGACACCTGGAACACCAGAGGCGTTACAAGTACGTTACCGGCCTTTTGGGGATTATGAATTTTAGGACTTTTTCTGTTAGTCGGTTTTCTGTGAGGCCGTGGTATCACTCCAGTCGAGCCGGCCCATTCGTGCCAAAGCATGGCTTTACCACACTTCTTTTGCCTATCACTTCAGGGTGCAAAAGCCTTGACGTTGTTATACTACTAACAAATAATTAAACAATCCTCACCTAGTATACATATCATACAGATTCCTCAAATACTTCTCCACATCGTTTTTATCAGCGAGTTTAGTTTGGATGTATTTTTGCAGCTTCAGGTGGAAGATGTTCAGGACAAACTTGCTCATCACCTGGTCAGGGTTGGGGAACACATTGCTGATGATGGTGTAGTTCTTCTTGCATAGAGGCAGTACTGCCGAGAATATGTCCTTGCCCAGTAGTGTGTTCTAGAAATAAATTTATGGAAAATGTTTAGAATGGTATTAATTGATCATGATTATATGAATAGGTTTGTACAACTGAAATAAATATAACCAAGGCCTCAAAATTCCCAGGCAAACAATTTTTGTTCCTAAAATACTCTTAGTTTCCATAAAAACATTGCCCCACACTGTGTCACATACAAATTCACATTCTGTACAGGCATCGAAACCATGTTGCACAGGACAGGTGACTCAGCCGCTGCGCCTAATAACTTTACTGAAAACTTTCGAAATATTTACAACGAGAAAACTAAACAAAATGGACCAACTAGTCTGCACTAAAAACTATTATATCCAAAAATAGAAATTTTTGTTAAAAAGAACATACCATCTGACTAGTTTCAATAAAGCATCGACACATTGCGAGTATCCCTTGAAGTTGGTCATAATATTAGCTATTTCCTTCATCTTGGTCATATTGCCCTGATTCTGAGCCTTCACAAACTCTTCAATAAGGTTCCTTTCGATTTCATCATACTTCGCTTCTATTTTCTTCTTGGCAACTTCGAATTTGTCCGGTGGCAACTCTTGAGCGATCGTGTGAAGTTTCTGTATTACATCTGCTGCTTCGTTTAACTGTAATATTAATTTGACATTAAATATCCTATGATTAGTGATTGTGGTCCATGTAAAGGTATAGTCACAGTTTAGATTAAAGAATTAATCTATTGTTAGGCTTTTCATAATTTTCAGTCATAATGTATAATTTTAAATTCTCTTTAAATAATATACTTGGGTCAAATGTTATTATAATTTACAAGTAAGTACCTAATTATAGTTCTAAACTAGTAAGCCAAAAACAAATAACTCTTAGTCCTTTGCCTTTAGACCATTTTGTGGAAATTACAGGCATTTATAATATACTATAATATACTATTACACAAACCTTGCTAGAATCATTGAACAAATCAATTAACACAGGTCCAGGGCTTAGGAAGTGTGACAGATGTGACAACAGATCCCTGGCGGCCGCAGCCCTCGCCCGCGGCGCACGCGCAGCTCCCAACTTCTCGCCGACGTCTAAGGCACGCCCCCCACAACGCGACATACGCTCATCTAGAGCACTGAACACTCCTACACAATGCTGGAAAGAGAAATAGTTTATTGTGATGTATCTCTTTTTGTCTTAAGGACTGATTTTTCCAATGCTAGGCAAATATTGGAGAAATAATTCTGAATATTTGGCGATTCTTATGCAATATTCTATTGGAATGGTCCAAAAATAAAAGCTTCCACGCGGTTTCACTCGCTCTGCTCAGTACCTATTGATTGTAGCATGATGTTTTATGACCTATAGGTGGTTAGGTTAGATAGTGATAGAGGTAGGCTATAGTCTAGGCTAGGCCTAAGCTAGGCTATATAGCCTACCTCGATCACTACCCAAAACAAAAAGAATTATTCAAAACAGACCAGTAGTGTTCCTGAGAACTTTTGAGCTTCATATATTAAATAAGTATAAGCAGTCATAAGATAAGAACTATCCGTTGATTGAAAAATCAGCTCTTGGTCAGAAAGGTACTTAATTGTTTTCGCTGTTCCACTAACCTTTCCTCTTTAACCACAATCTCCATACAAACTGTAGTTGGATTAGCATGAACTAATTTTAAGAATAAGTATAATTTTTTAATTTGTATTCAGAACTGATAAAATTTAATTTATTTATTATTATTGTCATCCTATTAAATACTTTTAATCACCAAACTAAATGTAACAAAAAAAGAAACTATGTTCACCAAAAAGAAACTTTATCACATGGGAAATAAAAGTGAATTGACATACAGTATGTTGATCCATGATTTCAGATAGTTTAGCACCATATAGCTTCTCCTCCTCTGTACAGATTGCTCCAGTCTTGCACATTTCCTTTCCTGTCTTTCTTGTAACACCTGATTAACAATAATGTTTCTATGAGAATGTGATTATTCTAGATTTACAAATCAAAGACTGTGATTTTAGACACAGAATGTAAATAATAATAAAAATGTGTGTATTTTTTGAAATCTGTACAATTAAGTTGCCAGGGCTTCCCAGAAAGTATTCCGAAGAAACTAGTGATGGGATAAACCTCGCTCCTCCTCCATTTTTGGTTGTATGACTTAGATACCAGTTACACATTCTTATAAAACAATTAAATAGAAGAAATAAAAATTTAAAATTTAAAATCATGTTAAAGTTTAATGAATGTACCATGAACAAAAAATAATGGAAACCTTATAAGGTTTTTTTGTAGGCTTGTTTGTCTATTAGTAATGTTGTTTGTTTTCAATGTGCCCAGTACGCAGGAGAAAACCCTCATGTTGGACCACATTAAGAAATCCAAAGTAAGTAGAACATTACTGCGTCCATTACTCCTAAATCACATGATTATAACTTTATATACCAAATTCACCATTGTTCTTAGGTTTTAGATTCAAAATGTAACAAGAAATGTTCACATACCTTCAGATCTTGTATGGCTTGTGTAAAAATGTCATGTATCATTTCAGGATCAAATTGGTCATCTTGTAAACGCGACTCTTGCATGCTCCTTCTCACCATTCTCTCCACAAATTCATCAGGATCGAACGGATCCTATAAATCAACAAGAAAATAAGTAATATACAAAATAAATTAGGTTTTTAAGACTTCTCATCAAAGAGATCAGGACAATATAATTGTGAATGTTTACTTACCTGTTCTAACTCTTTTATATATTGGTTCATCATCTTGGATAATTTTATGTTAACTACAGTTTTCGTTATTTAGAAATTATTCCTTTTCCTTTTTCATATTATACTTAGTTTCTAAATAAAAAAGTTTATCAATACAAAACGCCTACTTTTTCTATCAAGAATATTTTGAAGTTTGATGACAAATCCACTGAAACTTGACGTTGACACTTGACACTAGATTTGATTTGACAGATATCAGAAAAGATGCGTTCTGGGATCTCACTAACTAAGGCAGGTGACACGTTCAAAATAAAATAAAAATGTGTACAAGAAGTTTATTCTAAATTAAAACGAATTTATTTCATTTGTATTTTGATCAATAAATTGATACCAATTATTACAATTACCAATTAAGGTTCTTTTCAAATAATTTAATAATAAAATTTTATTATACGAGTTAGACATTATCTAATTCAGGGAGGGCTAAGTTAGTAAATTGAAGCACTGACGCTTTAGCTCGGTCGGTTCACTAAGCCAGTACCTAGTTGAGTAGTGATTAGGTACAAATCTATTTTTATTTATACCAACTATGTACTAACAAGTCGTGGTAGACTCAAATATAATGTATGCGGGTATCAAACCTAGAAAGTATTGATCCATTGATGTGATTTTTTCTACAGTATACGAAAATTTTACGGGGTACATACATACATATATAACCTCACGCTTGTCTCCGAAGGGGGTAGGCAGGTACCTCTTTCGCTTCATCAAAGTCTTGAGTCTTTTCATGTATGCCCGACATGCTCGTCGGTTAAGGGTACTTTTAATTTGGCACTTCTTTAATATATCGCCAATCTGTCGATCAATCGATATATTATGTCCGTCTAGGGCGCCCCCTACCGACGTCCCGACGTTTATAATTATACACTATATACTATTATTACACTACTGTCATCCATCCGCAGGTACTATGTATCAGTATTATTTCGATCTCAGTAACTAATTTTTATTTTTTATTATTACATTTACATATATCTAATTATTTTATGCAACTCAGTAAATAGTTGTATCGCGTCAGTGTAAAACGTTTGCTGTATTTTATTATGTAAATAATGATGAGAGAAAAAGACTGGTCGAATAATATTTCTAATAGTTTCAATTAATACTATAAAAGGTATTAAGATAGTTGGTGTTCCTTGAGGGATTATATGAATGAATATATGTTGACAGTTATTTTTCACTCGATCGCTCAATTTTAATCCACACTTACTTAGGTACTTCTCAGGGGTCTCATGTCCACCGCATTAATCCTGCTATGTTTCTTCTGGTATACCCATGATTCACTACCATACATAAGCGTTGGTGTCAAGACATGCCGTATTACAGCAAGTAGAGCTTTGCTGGGTTTATAATTTTACTCGACATTACAGAGTGTAAGGCACCATTGGCACGCATTCTCTCTGGCTTCACACTATGAGGATAGGTAGCAGGGCCAATAACTTATTATTATAATATTTATTGGAAGCCGTCAAATTACCTTGATGATACGTGATGATTATAATACTTATACCTACCTCTTTACGTTTGAGAGAAGGTCTTATCCCAACCCTGTGATAGTTACAGACTGATGAATCTGGTAATGGTGATGATGCCATGTACCTAAGTAACTATTCAGTGTCAGAAAATAACTACATATCATCATAAATTGTATTATTTTACAAACAAGTGCCTACCTATTATACTTACGCATAGGTTATAGGTAAAAGGCACTCATGAAAGTTCATTTACCTACCTACATTTCTAATGAAAGTCAAGGTTGCATAAAAGGTTTTAGTTGTACCAAAAGTTACGTTTTCTGTAATAATATTTTTTACCTTCGATCAACAACTTGAACTTAAATGATTTCAACAGAACCTACTCAGCTCTTTTACACTTTTACAGAACTTCCATACGAATAGATCATTTAATTTTTCTATTTACTATTGCAATAAGTATCGTTTCCAGCCTTCAGGTTTGCTTACTGGCACATTGACGCCTTATTATGAGGCCTATAAGGCTTAGTCTTTGGTTATTTTTATCTAGAACTTTAGGTCAATATCCGTTGTTTATGTTCTAATTTCTCAACCTTTTTCTGGAGTAATATGGTTTGTTTTCAATAAAATCTTTTTACTATTACTATAATACAGGCTTTTCTGAAAAAATATCATTTTAATTTTAGAAACAAAAGAAAAAAAAGTCATCAATGTAGCAAATACGTCTTTTTGGAAGATTTCTTACTAGTGAAAGCGTTTTTTATATCCAAATTCTTTGTGATGTCGTAATATTTTAACAAAATTTTGTGCGTGCTATTGACGATTAATTATTATTATATCGATTTACACTCTTTCATGAGAGTTGTGTGTAAGGCTAATACCAATCGAAAGGCTAACATTTTGACAGGAGAGCCACTGAAACCTTGGACATACGTGAGTAGTGAGATGTCCAATGTATCCTAAACGGGTTAGGATAAAGTCGATAGAGCTCAATGGCTGAGCGCCTCAGCCCTCGAAGCTCCGAGGTGAATGCCTTGGAACAACGAGGCTATCTCATCGGCAAGAAAATCGGACAAGGATCATATGCCACCGTCCACCTGGCTGAGTACTGCGATGCATCCAGCCCAAAGCGGATGCACCTTGCGTGCAAAATATTTGATAAAGAAAAAGCACCTCGGGATTTTTTAGAAAAGTTTTTTCCTCGTGAACTTGATATATTGACTAAGATCGAGAACCCTCATATTATTCAAGTACACAGTATTTTACAGCGTGGGCCGAGAGTGTTTATCTTCATGCGTTATGCTGACAATGGCGATCTGTTGGATTTCATAAAACGCAATGGAGTTGTGCCAGAAAACCAGGCAAAGCTTTGGTTTAGACAAATGGCTAGTGGCTTACAATATCTCCACAGCAAGAATATAGCACATCGTGATCTGAAATGTGAGAATATATTGCTGTCAAGACGTTTCAACGTGAAGTTGGCGGATTTTGGATTTGCTCGGTTCTGCACGGACGGTGAAAATCGCCGTGTACTCAGTCAAACGTATTGTGGCTCCGCTGCATATGCCGCCCCTGAGGTGGTGAGTGGCACGGCCTATAACCCCAAACTCGCTGATGTGTGGTCTCTCGGAATTATCCTTTTCATAATGCTGAACGCTTCAATGCCGTTCGATGATTCGAATCTACGCAAACTACTCAAGGACCAAATGTCACGCAACTGGGTTTTCAGGCTCAGGATTCGTGATACAATATCGGCGGCAGCCAAGTCTATCGTGCGGCACATTCTAGAGCCTGATATCACGCTCCGCCTGACCCTGGACCGGGTGTTGTCGCACGAGTGGACTCGGCCTCGCAAAGACAAGAGCGCGAGTCTAATGGGCCGGTTGGTTCAGTCGGCTCCGTCGGCGCCGCATTCGCCAGGCAAGCGCGAGCACGACGAGGCCGGCACGTCGGCCGGCGTGCGGGTCTCCGGCGACCACCGTGAGACCGAGCGCGAGCGGCACGACGACATCAACATGCGCTCGCACGACTAACGCACCCTATAGTAATAATATAATGTATCGATAATGTTTACGCAAAAAGTGTTAATAATCTTGAAATATTTTTGACCTTCAAAAATTGAAAATTCCCTTTATTATTTTGATTTTTTTTTACAATTGACGACTTAACTATTGTTGGTCGGCAATAGTGAAAATAAAGTTTTTATATAAAATTCCATAATTCTGTTTTTGTATTTCTTTCCAATGTTTATTTATTGTACCTATTTAATTATGCTTATTTTTATGTTATTTTTCCAATAACTTGGACAGATATTCTATTACAAGTACCTATTTCCCATTACAATAACTGGTGCTTAGTGGGGTTCTATAATGTCACATGGTTTTTGTTTCTTCTCCATGTGTTCCAAGTTCTACTGTGAGATGGCTTAACCGAGTAACCAACAATTCCAAAAGGTATGTTGAGAAATGGAAACCTAATATAAAACGATAGTGCAAAAGTTTTATCATTATATACAACATCAACTGTTGACATGGGACTGACATACTCCGCTCTTAGATATGTGTATTTCTGCTCCAAATCGGTGCGTTGTGGCTAAAACAAAGAAACAGGCGTTGGGAATTATATAATATTCCTTAGACCTTAAAACATGGAAATGTTTAGAGGCAGGAAAAGGCGTTGTGAATGAGTTTCGTGAAATAGGAAATAGTCGTAAGTGTGACTGTTCGTCCGCTTAGTTTTTGCAAGGGGAACACTTCTTCTCTCCCCCTCCGAACCTTTTTGTTAATGAGAATGAAATCAAGTTGTATTTTTTTTTTATTTCAAGACAGTTGTAGTCTACAATTGAACACGGCATATAAGAAACGGCTCACTTTCATACTATTTTTCTTCGTGAAAAATCTCATCTAAATTCGCTTAGCCGCCTTGGCAACAATTTACTTATTAACAATCCATCCATCTTTTGTTGGATCATCAGCTTTATTACATATAAGTACTACTACCTACTTGAAGTGTAACAAGTTACTAAGTAACAAGGTAACTAATTAGACTTACCGTCACATTTTGTGTAAAAATGGGAGTAAACGGTGGAATGTAACCGTTAATTGCAAGTGATATTTCCTCGCCTTCAACGTGGATACCTTTTAAAATAAACAACGGATATAACTTAATAAGTCATCTGGACCCTTTTCGTCATCATCGGCACATCAGCCCCAGGATGCGGCACTGTCTTCCCCAAGAACATCCCACCGGCCGTTTGAAAATGACATGCATCTAGGTCAGCTAGGTTATTTTGTAACTTTCAATTCGAAAGATCGACTTCAGTTGTCATTGGTTCTGAGAATAATCTCGAACAATGACGGGCGAGAAAGTGATCGACATCACTTAAGAAAATTCGAATTGATAGTTACAGAATAGCCTGCTAGACCTTTTTAGCTTCTGAGAATTTTTGTACGATAGAAAAACGGTCCTTGCTTATCCAATAGGGTAGACGACAAATTTTTATTTTAATGACCGTCTGGTAGA